GCAGATCAATACAGAGCAAGCAGGTTAGCACCGGTTTACTTGGGGAGGCTGGAGAGGTTAACCTTGGAGCATGCTTTGTCCTGTTTCCCTATTGAGTTGCCTTCTGTACCTGGCTATTTGAAGTCCTTTTTTAAGGGGGGAAGGGGTGCTTTTTCAGACCTCACTCCCCTGCACCCTGGACTCATGGGGTGCCCTTTTCCCCTCATGCTCACAGAGTCCCCCACACTTTCATTTATCTGACAAGCATTTCTTGAACTCTATTGTATGTCCAGCAAGTGGAGTCTCTAACAGTGGTTACGATGAATAGGGTCCTTCTCAAAAACCTCTATTTAAAGTCTGACAAGATAATCAGGCTGTGTTCCATTCCAGCAATAATAAGGAGGTGAGGGGAAAGCTCTAGGAAGTAAGGGAAACTCAGGCCTGAATGAGGGATTGCTCAATAAGGAAGACTGTATCAAGAGGCCAGAGAATGGGCAAAGGCCTTGGGCAAGAAGTGGCTGAATCAGGACAAAAAAAAAACCACTTGACTAGCATGCCATGAAGCCCCAGTAGTGGACAGAACAGAGGAGGCTGGTGGAGTGAATGCAAGGAAATGGGAAAGGTCACTAAAGGTGGCCCAGAGCCCTGGGTTTGGTTTTATTAGGGCAGGGTTTCCAGCAAACAGGACAGTAACACTATAGGTGTTCCTCCGAATCTGGGTGGAAGGGCAACAGATAGAGGCACATAGTGTTCCCTCCCCGCCTTACTCTGGTCAACTGAAGTAAGTCTGTTTTCCTAACAATCAGGAGCTCTCCAGGTTCGATATTCAGTATCCACCGAGTCTCCGACCCCAGCACTGGTCCAACCCCAGAGCCCACTTCCACCAGCTCCAGTCGGTGCCCACCTTTCTTGGTCTTCTCGTCCATCTGGCCTGGCTGCGCCCATCCCCTCACAAAGGGCTGCTGCTCCCGGGAAATGCTACCTTGGGGTCACCTGGAAGAGGGCGGGAGGACAGCAGAGATTCAGCCCTAGCCGGCCTCGCGCGTGGCTCAAGAGATATCCCGGGGCGCACTCGGGCAGCATCACACTGCCCTGGGCCCAAGGCCAGGCATTGGTAAGCGGTGGGGCCCCGCGAGGAACACAGAAAGCGAGGAAGGCCCTGGGGCCAAGTCCGCAGTGGGCAGTGGGTAATCACGACCCAAAAGCGACGGACGCCAGCCGGCGCGGGCACCCCAGCGTCCGGAACTCGAGCCCCGCGGCTCGCGCTACCCGGAAGACAGAGCGGGCTGCATCCCCGGAAGAGAAAGTGAAAGTGGCAGCCCCGGAAGTGCAGCAGGCCGAACGGAAGACTGTCTCTTTATCCGAGACTGTGCAAGCTCACCGGCTGGGGCGGGCGTCTAGACAGCTCTTGGCACTTATGGCCCATTACATGGCCTCACAGACCAGGGACACTAGGTCCAGGAGCCGATGATAGTCCCTCGGCCAACCCCGGACTCCCTCCAGCGCCTAGCGGGGAGGGGGGCGGGGCCTAGAGGCTCAGCGGGTGGGCTCTCCAGCGCCAGCGGTTCTCCACTCCGCGTCCACGTGTGCATAGCCTCCAGCCTCACGGAATCGCCAACACACCAATGAGTACCCAGTTTTTGGCGCCGTTTTCGGTTGTGGAAACAGGATTTGAATGTTTGTGACTTGCCCAAAGCCACACTGCTAGGGGTTGAATTCAAACGTCACAGTCTCAGGAGCCCACCTTGGCAGCCTGGAGACTTGTCTCTTGTATCGCCTAGCTGGAAATTCTTTTCAGCCTCGGCTCATGTTATCTTTTCTTCCAGTTTTCATCCCACAGATTAGCAGATATAGTGAGCCCCACCTGCAGAACGGATAACAGAAACTCGTCCTGCACCCAGATCTCATCCTGCCAGCCCCTCACTTGTTTTCCCTCAACTGCCCTAGAGGATCCTATTAAAACATAAAGGGGTAGGGGGAGACAGCTCAGTGGATTAAAGACTTGCTTGCTGTGCAAACCTTAGAACCTGAGTTCAATATTCAGTGTCCCATAAAAAGCTGGGCATGGTGGTGGGAGCTTGTAATCCTACCTCTGTGAAGGCAGATGGGAAGATTCCTGGGGTTCTCCAGCCAGCCAGAATAGCCTAACCAGTGGAGACCCTGTCTGAACAAGATAAATGGTGCCCCACAGAAACATGGGCAAGCGCGTGCGCATGCCCACCCACCCACACACCCACACACACACACACACACACACAAAATTCATGAACACTTTTCCACCTACCCCCACCTTCACTTGCATTTTCCACCGTCTCCCTCCCCTTAGCTCACTACACACTGAAGTGCTAGCTCTTGAATTCTGGAAGAAAGTAGTTGGCCAAGTTTGGGAGCTTCTGTTTTAGAATTTTCCATCCTCAGCTGAGAATGTCTGTAAATCTCAATATTTGGGAGGCGGAGAGAAGGGGGAAGGAAAGAAGCAAGGAAGGAAGGAATTTCCACCTGGGATCTTCTAGTAACAATTATTATTGGGTTTTGCTTATACCTCCCAGATTCTAAGATTATAGGCACATCTATCAGATTGTACAGGTCTCACTGTGTAGATCTGGACAGTCTGGAAAAGGTTTTATAGACCAGGCTGGCCTCAAACTTGTATAATCGTCCCACCTCTGCCTACCATGTCCTGGGATGACAGGAACTTGCCACACCTCTTTTGCTTTGTTTTTAAAATAACCTCTGCTTCTTTTCCTCTGAGTACTTTTAAGAATTTTTAAAACTTTTAACATTTTGACTTTGTGTCTGTGAAAATTTTGTGAAATATTCTTGAATTTGTGAAATTTGATTTCTCCCTAATTCTCTGTCTTATTTTTGCAACAGTTCCTAGCTTGAGTTTATACATTTACATACAAATCACTTTGGTTTCTGTGCCAGATGGCAGGTGAACTCTGTGTGTCTGTGTCTAAGGGTTTGCCTTTCTTGGTTACTGGTGTTTCCATCAGCCCTGATACCGTCTGCAAAAAATTAGTTGCAGGGAAGGCAGATGCAATCCTCATTTTTTTTTTCTTCTGGCCTCAGCCTTCTCCCTTTAAGGGGTAAGCTGACATCCACTTCGGACCCTTTGACGTCAGTGGGTAGACTCTAACATTCATTGAAACCCAAGTTCCCAATCAGGGTGACAGATCCAACTCTGTGTGAATCTTAACAAGAGGTTCCCTACCTCTGGGTCTCAGTTTCTTCCTCTGCTCATTGATAGTCATGGCAGCACTCTTCTCGCCAGCTAGTATAAGACTCTATATACATTACCAGTTACTGATATGTATCACATTGTATTTCCCCAAAGTTAGCAGCTTGAAACAGCAGACAGGACATGGTGGCACACAACTGTGATCCCAGGACTCTGGAGGCAGAGGCAAGAAGATCAGACTCAGAGTCGATTTGAGTTACTTACTTTGACACTGTCCGAAACAAACACCCCAACAATAAATATTTCTGGGGTCAGAGACAGAGAACTGGTTCCTAGGTGGCTCTGGCTTGATCTTGGGCTGAGATTTAATTCAGGCTACAGACTGATTTGCAGGAAAAGCCCCTTCCTCGTGAGCCTGTGCGCACAGAGACCTCTCCACATGCCTGCCCCTTCCTCGTGAGCCTGTGTGCATAGAGACCTCTCCATATGGCTCCATCAGAGGGCAGCTGGCTGTCTCCAGTACAAGCGCCCAGGAGAGGGAGGCAGAGGGAAACCCAGAGTCTCATGAATGCTGGATAGCAAACACTTCCTTTCAATCCCTCCCTTCTTTCCTCCTATTAGTCACCCCACTGTGTCCTAAGAGACAGTCTGGGCTAGGATGATGGCTCAGCAGTTAAGATGGCTTCTAGGAAAAAGAATTCTGTTCTTAGTACCCACACAAACGCCTTGGGAGGTAGAGACAGGATCCCCTGAGCAAGCTGTCTGATAAGACTAGCTATATGAGGGAGATCAAGGTTTGATTGAGAGACCCTACTCAGTCAAGGCAGTGGTGGCTCACCCCTTTAAGACCAGCAGCACTCTGGAGGCAGTGGTAGGTGGATCTCTGAATTCAAAGCCAACGAGCTCCAGGATGGCCAGAGCTACATGGAGAAACACAGTCCTGAAAAACCAAACAAAACAAAAAGAAAGGGGAGAGAGAGACTGACCCTCTTCAAGGAATAAGATGGAAGAGTGATTGGGGATTATTTAAGCCAGGATGTGGTGGCACATGCCTTTAATCCCAGCACTCATGAGGCAAAAGCAGACAGGCAGATCTCTGTGAATTCTAGGCCAGCCTGATCTACAGAGCAATTTCCAGCCAGGGCTACACAGAGAAACACCACTTTGAAAAGGCAAAAAGAAAAAAAAAATTCAAGATATCTAACTCCAGCCTCTGTATATGTTGGCACACCTGCGCGCGCGTGCGCGCGCGCACACACACACACACTATTCTATGCCTGCCCAGGTGAAGAGCCTGAGGTACAGAGTAGTTATGAAATCTGTTGAAGGTCCAAGCTTTGGGGCAGCCTGACACTCAAGTGCTGAGTTCTTAAGTACGACAGCGCCACTTTTCTCTGTGTAATGTGACACACGTGCCAGCCGCCTCTGTGGAAGACAGCCAAGGAGTGAAGAAAGCAGGCCTCCTGCCAACATTCTGGAGAGCCAGATTGGCCTGCCCTAAAACCACCCTGTTCACTGACCCATCTTGATGCAAAGTATGTTGCCTCCTGGTTAAGCCGACGCTCCACCCACCCCACCCCCTGCCTTGGCCTGAAGATGGAACCCTGACCCCTGAGCCTGTTAGACGTGTGCTTACATCTGAGCTACACCTGCCGTCAGTTTGGAAAGCTCCCCACATGAGACCTGGGGTCTCTCGGAGAAACAGCACGTACAGGAAGATCAGTGGGGGAATCTTACCATGAACCATTTGGTTGGGGTTGAAATATATCTGGCTTTTGTGTTGGGGCCGGTGTTGAAGGCAGGGAAAACCGTGAAGGACAGAAGGTAGAACTCTCCAGCATATAGAATGGTTCTCCTTTATTAGGCACATAGTGAAAATACAAACTCAACCGAACAAAAGCCAGCGTACTGGCAATGAACCTGAGTACTAAGAGTCCCCAGCACAGGGCCTGAGACTTTCCGTGTGGCAGTAGGATGGTCCCTGTCCTGTCCTTCCCTCTCCAGCTGGTAGTGCTCCAGCTAGAAACCACCAGAGTGAAGGGACCCAGACCCTCATTCCCTGAGGCGGATGCTTCTTTGTGGGATTCTCATCCTTTTTGTCTTGGCTCTTGGGCCAAGTCTTCAAGCAGGCTTTCGCGCCTGGAGACCGGATCCAGGCAGCACATTCCCAGCCTGGCCTGACAGGTGGGCCTGAGGTCCGGGTTGAGGTCTTTGGTCTTTGGCACGGAGACACAAGGCATCTGGGGCACTGATGAAGGGGGCTGTCCTGTGAACCGAAGCCTAGCACCAGCTCAGAGAAGGCCAAGCCTGATATGAAATGTGCCCTGGGCAGAAAGCAAGAGGCTGGCCCGGGAGCATGTGGCACTGCGGCAACTCGGCTAGCAAGGTATTTTTCTCCCCACTAGCTCTTTGTTAAGTGTTCACAGCGCCTAGAACAGGGCTTGGCACCCAGGGAGCCTCACCCTCCACAGTGCCTGTGGGAGATCACAGAATGCATGAGGCACAGTGGCTGTTTCTTCCTCCTGAAAGGCACTTCAGGTTTAGCTTGGTCCAAAGAGACAGGAGAAAGCTTGGAGACAGGTATGCAATCCACAGCTTGCAGCTGAAGGGCCAGCAGGGTGGCCCTAGCCATACAGTCCCACCTCCTCGTCCTCAGCCTCCTCCAGCCCTGGCCCATCTGGGACCACCTGGTCAGTATCCCAGTGGCCAGACTGTGGAGGGGAGACAAGGCTGTGGTCCTCCCTTAACCAGGGATGCAGGGGGATGCTGGGGGCCGCTAGTCGCTGTGAAGGTTCCTTACGAAGGAGACAGCGGATCAGGCAGCGGGCTGGGGCTGATAGACCCCCAGGCAGGGCAAAGGTCCCTCTGCGGATCTTGCCAAAAAGCAGAGCCGGCTCAGAGTCCTGGAATGGGTAGTGACCAGCCAGCATAGTGAAGAGCGCCACGCCCAGGCTCCAGACATCAGCTGCTTTGCCAGAGTAGGATGGCCGGGAGCTGAGTATCTCTGGTCCCACGTAGGCAGGGCATGCATGCTTGTCCCACAGAGAGTCGTCTGGTCCAGTCATCACACAGGCATCCTCCAGGTTCTCCAGCACCAGCTTCGTCCTGGGTCACAGACAGAAAGACCAGGTCTTGCTCAGTCCTCTGGAATAGCAGCCACTAAGCCATCTCTCCAGTCCCTGTCTTTGTTTTTTAATCAGGGTTTTCTTTGGCTATTTTTTGGAGATTTCACTACATTGCCCTGGCTAGCTTCTAACTTACTATCCTACATCAGTCTCCTGAGTGCTGGGATTACAGAAGAAGCCATCATGCTGAGCCTCAATGTCTTAGTAATTATTTTGTTTCGTTGGTTCTGGCTTCAGTGGGTCAGGGTCTCTCTCTGACCGTCCTGGAATTCACTATGTAGACCAGGCTGGCCTCGAGCTCACAGAGATTTGCCCACCTTCCACCTCACGGGGCTTCCATAACACTTGAGTCAAATTTGTCAAACTAGTGATCTAGGCTGTGAATGCTAAGTTAGATTCCATCCCCTTCCTCTTCCTTTTTAGTTTTTATTTTATTTTTGTAATTTTCAAATGTATGTGTATTTGTGTATAGTGTATGTGTGTGGGGACATGGGTGTACTAAGATTTTTATTTAATTTTATTTTATGTGATTGGTGTTTTTTCCACATTCCTGTCTGCCTGAGAGTGTGAGATCCCCTAGAGCTGGAGTTACAGACAGTTGTGAGTCACCATGTAGGTGCTGGGAATGGAACCTGGATCCTCTGAAAGAGTAGCCAGTGCTCTTAACCGCTAAGCCATCTCTCCAGCCCCTTTCTCCACTTCTTTTCTTTCTTTTCTGGTTTTTTGAGACGGGGTTTCTCTGTGTAAAAGTCTTAGTGGTTCTGGAACTCACTCTGTAGACCAGGCTAGCCTCAAACTCAAAGAGATCTACCTGCCTCTGCCTCTGCCTCCTGCGTGCTGGGATTAAAGGTGTGTACCACTACTGCCCAGCTTCTTTCTTCTTTTTAAAAAAAGATTTATTTATTATTTTTATTCAATGGGTGTTTTGCCTGTGTGTATGTCTGAGCGCCATGAGCATGCAAGTGCCCACAATGGCCAGAAGAGGTCAGATCCCCTGGGCTTGGAGTTATAGATGGTCATTAGCACTGTGCAGTGCTGGGAACCGAACCTGGATCTTCTGCAAGAGCAAAAGCACTTTAACCACTGAGTTATCCCTCCAACCCTCCCCTTCCCCAACACACGTGTGCGTGTGTGTGCGCGTGTGTGCATGTGCGTGTGCATGTGCGTGTGTATGTTGACAGGATCTCACTGCATAGCCCTGACTGACCTGGAACTCACTATGTATGCTGGCCTCTAGCTCACAGAGATCCACCTGTCTCTGCCTCCACAAGGATTTAAAGGTGTGTTCTGGCACCCTCATCTATTCCTTTATTCCTTATTCAACTTGAGACAGTCTCTCACTAAACCAGGCGCTCACCAATTGGATAGACTAGCTGTCCAGAGATCTCTGGGGATCTGTTTGTCTCTTCTCCTCTCCTCCATGCCCAGTGTTAGGGTTTCAAACTCCACACTACAGGCCACAGTCACAACACAGTCGGTGTTGGGGATTTCTTTTCCTGCCTAGGATGGAATCCAGAGCTTTTCCCACCGTGCTACACCTTAGCTCTTCCTGCCTAAGTTACTCTGCCCTCATGGACCTCAGTTTCCCTGCCATGACCCACTTCTCAAATGTGCCTCTGGGGTTCACACTTACCTCTCACAGTTGCTGAAGACAAAACGACGCAGCTTGAGGTCACGCAAGACAAGCCCGTGTTGGTGGCAGTGCGCCACCGCAGCAGCCATCTGCCGGAAAAGTTTAACAGCCTCGGGCTCAGGGATTCCACGGCGGCTGCGCACCAGGCTGTGTAAGTCCCCATGGGTCTTCATGAAGAAGGTGTAGAGGAACTGAGAACCCAGCAGGATGTCTGCAGGACGGGCCACGTGCTGGTGGGTCGGCAGTCGAGCATAGGGTGCCAGCACAGATTGGGCCTCGCTGGCCGGGTACACCTGAAGACAGAGCCAGGAGTAAGCACAGCGAGGGACCTGGGAAGCCAGGCTGGTCTAGCAAAGCGGGTGCCAATCATTACACACATTGTGAGCTACACATACCGGGGGCCTTGCTTTAGCAAGTTGCTCATAACTTGATATCAGCTGACTTTCTGCAGGCCACAGGTCAGGGGGTCTGGGGCCACAAGGCCAGCAAGTAGCACATCTGGGGCTAGAACCTGTGCACCCAACTCTGGGCTCTAAACAGCCACCCTGTGTGACCTTATGCCTCCGGAAATTGAAACTAGGGTAGAAGCCAAATACGAGAACACTTCTAGGAGCAGACCACCACCAAAGCCCCCCTCACAGTCAGCTCACTAACCTGCCTGCTGCCCCTGTTCAGCTGGCTGGACTCACAGCCAGCGCCCCTGTTCACTTGGCGTACCCAGTGCAACGCAAGCAAGCCCACAGACCATATATTCCAAAAGAATCAAGAAAGATGTAGAATCCAGAGTATTTTGCTTTTCAATCTTGGAGATCAAACCCAGGCCCGATCTTTGCTCGGCAAGTGTGGAAGCGAGCACTCATTTTAGAAAGTTTGGGCCTACCGTGGAGGCACACACCTTTAATTCCAGGAGGAAAAGGCAGGTGGATCTCTGTGCATTGGATGCCAACCTGATCTACAAAGTAAGCCCCAGGCTAGCCAGAGCTACACAGTGAGAGTCTAAAATAAATAAATAAATAAATAAATAAATAAATAAATAAAGTGTGGATCCAAAGGGCTCAGAAGTGACCTGAATGATCCAAAGACACCCATGGGAAAAACTTTCCAAGTTGGGGACATTTGGGAAATGTGCTCAGAGTTTGTGGACATTAAGCACACACCTGGAAGGTGGGTCCAGGACTGTGGGGAAAGAAACTGAAGTTCAGGAAAGGGAGGTGACTTACGCAAAGCCACACTTGAACCTGCCACAAGCTGGCTATTGCAGAAGTATACACCACTTTGAGTTTTTGACTTGAAACTCGTGCATACTGACTAATATATTTAATCTATGAAAATCGTAAAGCATGTGATCTGCAAAAGGGCGGGGGAGAGGCTAGAGAGATGAGTCGGTCGTTGAGAGCATTGACTGCTCTTCCAGAGGACTCAGCTTTGATTTCCAGCGCCCACATGACAGCTTACAACTGTCTATAAATCCAGTTCCAGGGGGTCCAGACATAAGCACAAGAAAATACCCATACAGATGAAATAATAAGAATAATTTTTTTTAAAAAAGCTAGGGTAGCAAGGAAGAAATAAATACACTGACTACTTTTTCTTTCTCCCACAAAGCCCAGTCCTGCCTAATACCTTTGAACCTCTTTATTTTTTCAGAGAAGGGGTGAGCTTTTTACGACATCTCTCTATGTCTCCCTGGCTGTCTTAGAACTCACTATGTAGACCAGGCTGGCCTCGAACTCACAGAGCTCCATTTCCTCTGCTTATCGGATGTTGTGATTATAGGTGTGTCACCTCACTTGGGCCTTTGTGCCTCCAGTACCTGCAGCCAGGACTCTGCCTTTGGAGCTTCCTCCCCATCCTCCAGCTTCCGACATGCAGTCCTCTGTCATCTGTAAGGCCCTCCCAGAATTATCATGTCCCCCTGCGTCTCTTCCTGTCTGCCTCCTCCTCTCTCTTCTTCTGCCTCCCCTCTGGCACCAGCTTTGTTTCCACCATGGTCACCATTGCCTGTTGGCACCCGTGGAGGCCAGAGCAGACCCGCTAGTGTCAGTCCTCGGGTGCCATCCAATTTTTTCTTAAATTTATTTTTAATCATGTGTGTGTGTGTCTGTCTATCTGTCTGTCTGTCTGTGTATATGTGTGCATGAGTGCAGATGCCTGAGGAGGCCAGAAGCCCTGGATTTCCCTGGAGCTGGAGTTGTGTATTTGGTGGCGACCTGCCTCAAGTGGATGCTAGGAACAGAACCTGGATCTCTGCGAGAGTTACAAGCAGTCGTAACCACTGACCCATGTGTCTAGCCCTTTTTTCATTCTCTCTCTTCTCTCTCTGCCTGAAATAGAGTCTCTTACTTGCTTTGGGACTGCCTCACTAAATAGCTGGCTGACCAATGAGCTCGGAAGGTTGGCTTGTCTTCATCTTCTCAGTGCAGGATTACAAGTATACAACACCTCCCTCTCTTCTCCTCTCCTCTCCTCTCTTCTTCTCCCCTCCCCTCTCCCCTCCTATCTCCTCCCCTCCCCCCTCTCCTCTCCTCTCCTCCCCTCCCCTCTCTTCTCCTTTCCTCTCCTCACCTCCCCTCCCCTCTACTCTCCTTTCCTCTCCTCTCCTCTTCTCCCCTCCCCTCCCCCCTTTTCCTTTTGTCTTTCGACATGGATCCTGGGGCTCACCAACGGAGCTATCTCCCCAGTCCCACACGCTCACTTCTTTATTATCTCACCGTGCCTCTCACTAGAATGTCCGTTTGATAGCAGGAGCACAGGCTCTAGGTTTGTTTTGGTTTTGAAACAGGTTCTCAGTATGTTCCCGGAGGCTTGTCTGAAATTCGAGACAATCCTCCTGTCTCTGCCTATTCAGTGCTAGGATTACAGGCATGTGCCACCACACCCTGCTTGGGTCTGATCTTTGACCACAGAGGGGGGCGTTGTGTATGTATGATGCGCTGAAGTTTTGTCAGTTGAGGAACCCATTGATAATCTGCAAAACTGAAACCCTGCAGTCCTCTGGGACCCAGCCCTTGTGCAGGGTCCTGGGATGCTAGAGGGGAGAGTCGGTCGATCTTACCTTGCAGGTATACTCCATGCCTGTGGAGCAGTGCAGAGCCTGGTAAGTGTGGCTGCCCCGCTCTTGTTCCAAAAGGACATAGGGCCCCAGCCTGGTTGCAGGGGCCACAGCAGGTGACAAATCTGAGGCAGCGGGTGGGCTGGGGGGCAGCAGGCAGGGGGGTGGCCCAGGTTCGGGCCCACCTCTCACTCGTTTTAGTTCTGGACATTCGGAGTCAATGTTGTCCTGGAACTCCAACGGTTTCTTCCTGCAGGGAACACCAGCAGGAGCAGCCAAAGGGGTGGCTCGCATCTAGAGAGAAGGGAAGAAAGACTATTTGGTGGCCCTGTCTTCCCTGTTAGGACCCTCTGGGCAGAGAAGACATCACTCTGGGTTTTCCGAAGCTCAGTAAGCATGGTGCTCTCAAACGCAAGGACAGCTGGAGAAGGAAGAACCCGCGAGGAATGAAAGGCTTAATAATGCAATAAGGAAAGCTGGGTTTAGGGACACACCCGTGGACCGCCAGCATCGGGAAGGCAGAGGCAGGAGGATGGGGAGTTCCTGGAAGGCCTGGGCTGCATAAAGAGCTGACTGCAACCGCTCAGGCCTAGGACCCTCCCTGGCGTCGGAGTTAAAGAGCGAGAAAATGAGAGTGAGAGAGAATGAGAGGGGGAGAGAGACAGACAGACGAGAGGGAATATTCATGAATATTCATAAATATGTCGGGGCTACCAATATCCTCTCCAGACTTGGGGAAACCCGCCCCCCTCTTTGCAGCTCCCCACCGGATACCTTGTGTTCCTCACGGGTCTCAAAGCCTTCTGCGCACGTGCACACCCAGTCGATCTCAGAGTCGCCGGCAAGTTCGTGCCAGGCTACAACCTCTCCGTATTCAGCAGTAGCGGCTTCCGCTGCTAAAGTGCTGAGGCACGGGGACCCGGGTTCCCATTCCCCGCCCGGCTGATGTAAACCTGAGCTAATCTACGGCTGACGCCGTGCGGCGCTGGATTGCACCATCCACGACCCGCCCCTGAAGCCGCTCCTGTAGGACGCTCCGCCTGCGCCTTCGGGGCCACTTGCAAGCCCGCCCCCTCCAAAGCCCCCATCCCCGCTTATCCCCATGAAGTAAAACCCCGAGCCACCAGCTCTCCTTACCGTAGTACTTTACTGTACCCTTTCAAGAGTGCGCCCAGCTCTGCTCAGACTCGAGGTTCGGCACAGAAAAGCCACTTAGCGCCCTGGCTGGCTAGGGGTGTGGCTCCGTGAGAGCGCTTGACAACAGCGCCTACAGCCCTGCTCTGTAACAAAGCCAAAAACTATCAAAGAAAGCACAGCTTCAATTCCCTTCTCCATAAAAATGGATTTGTAACGGTGCTCACTTCATATAATTGCCGTGAGCGTTAGTAAGTAAATTTTGTGTACGCAAAATTCTTAGATCAGCTGGGTGTGATGCATCCCTAGAACCTCAATTACTTTAAAGCCTGAGGCAGGAGGATGGCCTGTTTGACGGTAGCTCTAGCTTGCCTGAAACTCTGTAGACCAGGCTGATCTCGAACTCAGAGATGCACCTGCCTCTGCCCCAAGTACTAGGACTAAAGTCTTCTTATTAAGCTAAAAGAAATTTAACGGCAGAAGTGGTGGAAGGGAGGAGGCTGCAGAACATTTGCCTAGCACGCACTAGACAGTGAGTTCAAGTTTAATTCCCAGTAACAGAAAAGAAAAATAGCAGTTAGTCACCTTAAATACCAGCACTCAGAGGCAGAGACAGGCAGATCTCTGTGAGTTCCAGGTTAGCCTGGTCTGTAGAGTGAGTTCTAGGACAGCCAGGGCCTGTTTCTTTCTTTCTTTTTCTTTCTTTCTTTTAAATTTTTTCTTTTAAAATGCATTTATTTTGCAACTGAAGCGAGACACATGGTGAACAAATTCATAAAGATGATGCCACCCAAAGATTAGCATCTGGCCATGCATACAACTCACTATGCAGAACTGAGGTGTTTTCAACACCAGCAAAGTAGGGTGCATTCCTTTGTGAAATGAACCTCATGTTGCTCCCCCACCCTGGACAGCTGTTAATGTACACACAACCACTGGCCACCTCCGTTCCATGCCAGGCAGTCAACACCTACACACCTGCCAAGCGGACAGACAACATGGCATACAGTATCTTGTTCTGAAGCGAAACGATCCAGCAGCATAACCACAGGGACAGCCAGAAGAGACTCGCAGCAGTCAAATGACAATCTCCCCTACCGTTTTTTGAGAGCTGAAATGCTTGTGAAATACTTTAGGCCAGTATTTACAGGGCCAGACCTGTCCTAGGTTTAAAGCACGTACAGATGGAGTTCCTCAGGTAAACGAACTCTGTAACTCAGCAGAAACACTGTCACAATGTGTGTGAATCTCCTGGCATCCTGGTAAAGGTTCCCCAACTGAAATATGACTTAGTGAAGAACCGGGTGGGCGGCGGGGAGGGGGGGAGGCGGAGGGGCCGTACACAGGTCTGGAGAGCCTGCCATCAGAGCCAGGATGCCATGTTCTGTTTTCTACTGCTTATATATACATTAGCTCGTCTTGGATGCTAAGTCTGAAAGTCACAAAATACTAGAGGTGGGATGGGTCATGCCACCCGACCTTTAAAGCCATGGCAGTCCAGAGAGGTAAAGCAGCTTGTCGTGGGCAAAGAATGGTGGTAAAGGGCTAGATCAGAACGCGGTGACCTAACCTGCACCTAGGGAAGCTCAACTGCGTATGTGGCCAATATTTGCAATAAGGAAACTTTAATACTGTGTGTTTTTAATCCGAAAAGAAAAAAAAAAAACAAATATCACCACCATCCAAAAGAAACAAAATGGTGTCTTCCATCTCCAAACTCTATATCGCTATCACTAAGTCCCAGCCCTAGCCTAAGCCTTAAACTTTAAACATCATCCTCTCTCCCCTCTACACACACACACACACACACACACACACACACACACACACACGCACGTGGGCGGGCGGGCAGGGTAGGGAGTGGAGGGTTCTTGCTATACAGAGACAGAACACATCCTCGGGAAAGCGTCATTTCTCAGCCCAGGTCTATACGTGAGGTCTGGGAAACCGGCTTATTTTCTTATTTTGGTGGTTCCAAAATCAGATCATCCTCCCCAAACGAGGAGTTCTGGTCCGTGTTTACGAAGTTGGGGATGTCAAACTTCACAAGCCTGCTCAGCCGCTCCTCAGGACCCCACTGCTTCAGATGGTTTCCTGGAGAAGGACCTCACTGTCGGTGGCTGTTGTCTGGTGGCAGACTTTGACCCTGTCCAAGTGTTCCACTTCATTGATATAACAGTGGAAGAGAGACCTGGACTCCTCGTTGCCCTGACGAGAGAACACCTTATCTGACTCCGGTGACTTTCCAAAGTCTGACACGAAGCTGTTCATTCTGAACCTCTTCTCTGACGACTCTGCATTGTCTTGGTGTGGAGTACCTGTCTTAGTCAGCAAAGTCAGCACAAAAAACATGAAAATCACACACACACACAAAAAAAAAAAAAAAAAAAAAAAAAAAACAAACGGCGAGACCAACCCAGAATCTGCTCACTTTGGAATCTTACAGATCAGCAGGAGGAGTCAAGGTAGGAATCCAAGGTCAAAACCTGGAGATAGAAACTGACTGAAGAAGTCACAAGGAGAAACATTCCACAAGGAGAAACATTCCTTACTGACTTGAACTTGCTCAACCAGCTTTATTTCAGGGCCTGTTTCTTAAAACAACCAAAAAGAAAGGAAGGAAGGAAGGAGGGAGGGAGGGAGGGAGGAAGGAAGGGAGAGAGGGAGGAAGGAAGGAAGGAAGAAAGAAAAAGAAAGAAAGAAAGAAAGAAAGATAGATAGAAAGAAAGAAATTGGGGCAGGGGAGATGGCTCAGTGGTTTAGAGCACTGGCTGCTCTTCTGAGTTCAGTTCCCAGCACCCACATGGCAGCTCACACCTGTAACTGCAGTCTGCAGTTCCAGGGGATCTGACACAGACATACATCCAGGTAAAACACCAATGAACACAAAACAAAAAGAATAAAAATAAAATAGCAAAATAAACAGCAAAAACAAAAATGTAAAGTGGTGGATGGGACATATAGGCACTCAGTAAACAGGATGGAGCCACTGGACACCAGAGGTGGAGGGATATAATAAGACTCCAGCCGCAGCTGAAACTAGGCATGGTGGCGGTGCCTACCCTCCTTCTGTCGCCCTGGCAAAACCCCAAAGGCCCAGTATTCCCGGTGCTCTAGTTTCCGTCTTGATACTTGAGTTCATTTATATTGAAAGAAGAAGAAGAAGAGGAGGAAGAGGAAGAGGAAGAGGAAGAGGAAGAGGAAGAGGAAGAAGAAGAAGAAGAAGAAGAAGAAGAAGAAGAAGAAGAAGAAGAAGAAGAAGAAGAAGA